GGCCAGCGAGCGCTCCTGCCGCACACAGCCCCCCCCGCCTTGCAAAGAGTCCGAGGGAGAGCCAGAGGGATACAGAGCTTTATTGTACGGATGGAGAAGGGGGTCGTCCCCCCCCACCGCTGACGTTAAAGTGCTCACCCTAAGTAAGATACAGAGGTCATATCTGCACTATAGGATATATTACAAATGATACCATGCATCCATTAACAAAATATACAAAGCCAACAGAAATATATCTACCTTAAGTCTAAGCATACATTATCTAACTCCTAGTAAAAAGTAACCTAAAGAAAATAGCGTTTCATACTTCACATTTCAATCTGCAATGAAGTGTTCCTCCTCAAATGTCTTAGTGTTTTGTTAATTTATAGAACACATTAAGTATGAAGGTACACACAGAAAGAACATGTGTCCTGCTGGGGACTCCAGATCAAAGCAGACAACCACACTACGCTTAGAAATTTCACCAGCTACTGCACTTCATCCACATCCCTTCATCCTCCTCATTCTAGAGCAGGCAGGAGCCAGAAGGTACTCAAAACAGTGTGCATAAGTTAAGGTGGGGAAAAAACAGTAGTTTCATGTTACAGAAAGATCTTTATCTGGTCCACAGCAGACAGTTGTACTGGTGTACAGAGAGATGGGAAACACTGCAAAATAGTTCTACTGTATTTCAAAATAAACATTTAAGAGTATATCTTCCACAATCTATAAAAATAGGTTTAAAACAAAACTGGTATGATACTTTTTTTTTTTCTTCAATTATTTTAACAGTATCTTATCTCTCAGGGTATTATGTCTTTTTTAAAAATTACTACTACTGATCACCTGGTCAGTCACAATACTGATACTGCTTCAGGTACATTGTGACAAAACAGGAATACCTTAGTTTGAAGCAGCAGTAATAAAATATTTTAGGATCAATGGTCTCTTACTGCAGCAAGGAAAAAAGTTTGCTTGAAAGCAAGAATGTAGCCAACACTGCTGTCACCTTCAGAGGGACCGAACTCTGAAAAGTTATCTATGGATACACCACTGCACAGCAGTCTATGTTGCTCGTTTCTCCTGATTCTTCAGAATGAAATCTCTCTCGGCACATTTAGAAGGGAATTCTTAGATTTCCAAACTAAATATGGGCATCTAAAGCAAAATCTTGTGAGAAAAGTGAATCCTACAGATGTGTGTATGGAAACATGGGAGCAGCTAGAACCATCACGGGAGACTGTACACTTAAAACTGTGTAAGTTAATGCAATTTTCAAACTATAATGTAAGTCACACAATCCCTACCTCAAGCACTCTTCCCATTCCTAAATATCACCAGAATTTGTACTCTAATTCAGGTCTAGGTTTCTACACATTCTTCAATTCTTCTACGTGATATCAACAGAATAAGAGGTTTGCACTATACAGAAAAAAAGACAGTGGTCAAATTAACATTTTCACAGAGAGCCTGTAAAGATTCTTAGAAAGGCCTTTCCTACCCTTTCACTAAATACATTATGCAGCCTATATTTATTTCCCTGTTAGAGATAATGTTTTGCACTATCATTACTACAGATGGTTCAATTGCTGCTGGTAAATTCATTCTCCTACTTCATTCTGCTGCAAGAAACAAATGACCTTCTTGGTATTCATCAGTTTAACAGTAGTTACACTTTCAGGCTTTAAAAGTTGTTTGATGGTTCAAGATGGCTTTCCTGTATGAGCAACCTTTTTCTTCTAAGAATCATTTGTAAGGTTTAAGTCTGTTACATTACTATCATGCATTGGACAAATCCATTACTAAATCATATCAGAAGAAACAACTTGCTAATTGTGGGCATCTCTTGTAAATTAGGCAAGACTACATTTTACAGCAGCATTGTACACTTGTCCCTATTCCAAAGCTTGTTAAAAGTCAACAAGTTTCCAGCTCCCTAAAAAGAAAAAATAAATCAAAAAATCTTACACACAATAAAAGGGGAAGTTTCCACCTGGGTGGAAGTTTAAAGTAATTCTATAGGATTCCCTGATAAAAGGATTTGGTATGAAATTAGAGACTTAAAGACTACTCATTTAACTATGAGGTCCGAGTAACAGCTGAAATTCTGGTCTCCAATTCACAAGATGCTGTGACAAGCACTGTTTGACATTTCCACGAGAAAAAGTCAAAAGCTCAAAGAAAAGCCAAAGTTTTAGTCACACCTCCGAACAGAAAGCAGCTAAGGAGCAGCCTGCTCTTGCTGCAGTGTTTAATGGGAGTTTACTCAATGAAGACAATTCCTCCCTCCACCAGGAAAGTTCAGCATCTACCGCTGTACCAGTCACTGTTACTGATCTGAAGCAATTCAGTTACCACTTGAACCATATTATTGTTGTGTTTCTTCAGCAGTCGCAGGTTTAACTGCCTGTCACAGAACCCCATCTCATGCAGGCTGGATAGAAGAGTGGCAGTGTGCTCTTCTGTAGCTGCAGGCTGCTGAAAACAAAAGACAGTAAGATAAGCTATAAAAAGATAATTTATTTTTGCCATTGAAGCAGTGGTCCTGCATTACACTGGAATATAATTAAGGCACAGAGTCCCTTTTTTCCCCCACTATTAATCTATTCATATTCACTTTCACCATTCGCTTACAAAGGTGAATTACTACTCTTACATGACACTAGAGAGACGTGCTTCTATCCCCGTGGTATGCATTTCCCTATCTGCTGGTGGAGCAGCATACTTCAAAGGGATACCATCAAGTTTAACATTTTACTGTCACATGAAGTCCTATATAGAATATTGATACATTTATAAAACGTAGATTTGTAATTTTAAGGTTGGCATTCTATGAAATTCACGTACGATACAAGAAAGACATTTACCTGTTCTATAACGGGTGGTCCAGCAAATAATGCTTTGTAGGCAGAAGCAGCAACAGACAAAGCTCCTTTAACTAGTTCTCCTGCGATGCTGCTTCCTTGAGGGTATCTGCAGAGAAGTCAGGTATTACTTTAGGGTCAGTACAGCCAAGTGTTTGTTTCACATGAAATGCAAGTCTCTCCCTGTTGATGTGCAAACTGAAATTTAGTTTTGTTGGAGAGAACAACCTACGATCCAAAGGAATCATTGCTGTTTGGGAATTGGGCTATC